GTGAACGCGCATGCCGTAATAGTTTCTGTCTAAGGACTCTATCGGTGCGTGCCCATCTGATGGAAATGAAATATGCGTCATTCAGCTAATTCAGCCGTCAGCCACGGAACAGAGGCGGATGACGCATGCCCGCTGAGATATATTTTATCCCCTTCCCCTTCCTTTTTTTCCTTCATGCTTATCCCGTCTTCACCTTCCCTTTCTCCTCCACGTTTCCACTTCCTCGCTGTCCTCCTTCTTCGTGCTTCCCACTTCCTCCCTTCCCGCCTATCTCCCCCTTCCCCCTTCCCCCTTCTCCCTCTCCCCCCGTCCTCCGTCACGACAACATTCAGTGATGAGTGGTAGCTACATCGCGTCTATCGGAGGCCTGGCCCTCAGATACTGTTACCGAACCGCCCGCCATGCAGTTGCAGGCACGGCTTCACGCAGACGCCGGCGCTATTAATAGCACGAACTGCTCAGCTGCCGGCATATAATATCGCCGTACACAGCGGGATGCAGCTAATGGAGTGTGTGTGTGTGTGTGTGTGTGTGTGTGTGTGTGTGTGTGTGTGTGTGTGTGTGTGCGTCCGTGTGTGCGTACGCGCGCGTGCGAGTGTGCGTGTGTGTGTCACTGTGTGCGTACGAGTGTGCGTGTGTGTGTCACTGTGTGCGTACGTGTGTGCGACTGTGCGTACGCGCGCGTGCCAACAGTAAGCTGCCGATGCTAGTTATATATAAGCAGCCGAAGAGGTGCGGGCAGCAGGGGGTCATAGCGACGGAAACACGCTACATCAGCTGCTATAACGACGAGCGGGGAAGCTCGATTCTGGATTCTTGATTCTCGACTGTTGGCGGGAAATCCTGGCGGTTCGTTAACTCTGTTATTGTTCTCGGTAAATGGTGACGGCGACTGGCGGGGGAAAGGAACGTTTACGCGCGGGAAGAAAAACGCAGAGAAAGAGAGAGAGAAGATGACGACGACGACGACGACGACGATGACGACGAAAATAGACAGTATGCAACAGCAAAAGCAGGAAAATAAGAGAAAAAACAACAACATTAATAATAATAATTCCTTACTTTTATAATAATAATAATAATAATTATTATTATTATTATCTAGTTGCTGCTAGTAGGCCCTACACTGCAGCTAACGACGGCACATTACGAGAGTAGGAACACAAACAACCTTAATTGATCTAATCTCACACAAGCGGTTTATGTAAGTAAGTATACCCCAGTTTACTTCGACCCTTGTCGCGCATTCACTGCCTTTCCCGAATTCATTTCCAAATGCCTCACAATCTCATTAACCTGGTTTCACAAAAAATCTAATTGGCTCATATCGGATGACTGGCTAATATTAGCGACAATTTACGTTAGCTAGGCTGTGGTGGTGGGGTGATGTGGTGGTGGTAGTGGGGGTGATGTGGGGTGGTGGTGGTGGGTGTTGGGAGTAGGGCTAGCAGCATCCATGCCTTGCTAAACGATGAGAGACGCCGGACACCAAGTCAATTACGAAGCCGGAAAAAGGTCTGGGTACGTTTTTCGCGCGCTAGTCTGGTTCTGCTGCCCTCGTGGGGGTAGGAGGGTGGGGGGATGAGGGGGTGGGAGTATTCAGGCCCCCAGGGCATGGTGTACACATGTTACTGTGGCAAACAGCAGCAACTACAGTATCCAGAGAGCGCTGTTTGTAAGCGGCGGGTAATTTGTCTTCTTCCCATTTTCTCCACCTTCCTCTTACTCCCTCGTCATAACTCTCTCTTTATCTCTCGCTCTTGCTCGCGCGCGCTCTCTCTCTCTCTCTCTCTCTCTCTCTCTCTCTCTCTCTCTCTCTCTCTCTCTCTCTCTTTTTTTCCTATCGGCAGGAATTTTTCATTTGTGTCGGGAAAGCTTTGCAGTTTGATGCGGGAATCTCTCTCGTGTGATAAAATCTTACCGAATCTCGTTTTACAGGCCGAACCAAACCATCGTCGTCATCCCCCGCCACGTTACGCTCCGGCGCTGATTGCTAATTACACTAATTGCTCTTAGATAATGATGAATTCACCGCAATCCGGTCCGCAGCTGATCATCTATGAGAAACGCCCGGCTCTCCTCGCCTCGCATTTCAATTGCAGCATCCTAATTGACTTTAATTAAGACCTAATCAACTACGCTGACAGACGAAAACAATGCGCAAACTTTGCGGGGGTTGTGTACAGCGGTGGCATCACGTGACCTCCAAAAACGCAAAACTCGCGTTGTCGGGAGCTATATATAGGTTATCCGGTTAAATTTAACACCGAACGTTTAACATGTTTATCCGACTCAACGATGTTAAAAACACAAACGCGCGCGCAGAGAAAAAAAACGCTGACGCGGAAATCAAGATGGCGACCTTATCGGGCGATGCATCGTGGCGCCATCTATGCGCGACCGGCGATACTAACCGCTCCCCATCCTCGCCCAATTTCCACCTCGCTGCAAAGTTAAGATCAAGTGTACTGCGGTGAGTATTGACCTTTAATCGTGTGTCCGCACGACCGTGGTCGAGTAACACAATATAGGCTGTAATTGAATAGCAGGCAGGCGCGCGTTGAATTGAACGAGTCGGTGAGTAGTTCGTGGGAAATCAATTAGAGAGTAAGTAAGGAAAGCTGTGTGGCGATAACGACGAAATGTTTGAACGAAAGCGCAGACGAACGAGGCAGGCGCGCGCCCATAGTTACAGTAAGGGCAATTCACACTCAACACTCCCGCGCAGCCTGCCCAAATGTGAAGGGTACCACAAGATGTATTGTGTGTTATGTGTTATGTGTTATGTATTATGTATTATGTATTATTTATTATGTATTATGTATTATATATTAAATATATAACTATTAAATATTAAACAATAATTATGTATTAAATATTAAATATTAAATATTAAAATAGTAACTATTTAATATTAAATATCAAATATAAATATCCGTATTTTTGCTGTTGCGCCGTTAGAGTGGAGCATGGGGGCGACCGTGCTGCCGCAGTGCGGATGAACATTGCTGTATCTTGAGCTAACATTGATAATGTACAGTTACTACGTTACTTCGTTACTGCGTTACTGTTACATGACCTAGTCCGGGATGTATCCCTTTAGTCGCTGCCTTCCTGTCCGTACCTCCGCTCTTGCGTAAACTAAACTTCGAGAATTAACTTTTTGCCGCCGTAAAAACCCGCCGAGAAAAAATCGTCGTTAGCAGACGCCGGCGATGAAAGCTAGCAGTCGACTTCTTATGAGTTGTGTATCAGTAACGCCTGCATACAGTAGTGGCTATGCGGTGGCGGAGACGCTCCCCTCTCCCCCTCCCCTTTCTAAACCTTATCTCTCCATCATTTCTTTCGTTCTGCTGTCTATTTTCTGCAGTGCGTTGCCGCAGCCAATCGGAGCACAGGTTAACGTAACGTGAGAGCGCGACGCCATATTGAAAACGGGTCGAGTTAAGAACGTACGTGTTAACAAAAATAAAGACCAGCGATGGTTAGTTACGAGTCACTTCACTGGAGGGTCGAGAACCTTACAATCTAGATGGGTCTGCTTCACCGCTGCTACGGGATCTAGCCTTAATGTTAGAATATTCGAGCCAGTCTCTGACTCAGAGCTTACATCGGCCTCACGAACGGCATGCTGGATTCACGACACCCAATCAACGACCAGCAATTCAACACGTGACCACCCGGACCCAATTACTCGGCTGCTTATGCACACAAGACCTGTGACGTCACTGCGCATGAATTCGACTTAGTCAGACTCGCTGTATGTGAGCGGTGCGTGTTTTTAGAGCTTAACTAGGCCCCAAGAGGGATCTCATTAAGTCGAACTGAGAGACTTACACTCCTGCGTTGAAATATGTCAGTGCAAACCGGGTGCGATGCATTTGCATTTAGTTCTTTCTTTTCTGTTAATAAACTTTAATTCTATTTCGCATTTAGCCGATGAAGATTTACTTACTTAATTACATTAATTCCATTTCGCCGAATAATTGCGTTCTCAAATATCATATTACTCTAATGCAACCTATCGGAAGTGTTGAAGTGTCAAACAAGCTCAGATTAAATGAAATATGCTCTAATAGAAAAGATCATACACGCGCAATATTGTATGCTGGCCTTTACTCGCTAAATCCAGGGTCTGTATTAAGTGTGGCAAGTAGGTCAAAGTATATATAGCGGCCTAGGAGGTCCAACGTCTTTCTTAAGTTAGGGTAATGTTTAGAGGTAACATTAAAATTTGAAATAACCTTATTTTTCACCTAATTTTAACACTATCGCTATCGTTTTCTTTGACTGATCATGTAACCATATAGCTAACACTGTTACGCTAGGTGCACGCGTGCGTGCGTGCGTGTGCGTGCGTGTTGGTGACACCTACCCTGCTCCTGATCTCTCTCTCCAGGTCCAAGTCATCCTCGAGCGCTCTGATCTTATCCTGCAAAAATGCGAACGAAATTAGGCAAGAAAATACGACGACGGATATGCGAAACAACAAATAACTGTGTGCGTGTGTCTGTGCGCGCGTTGTGTGTGTGTGTGTGTGTGTGTGTGTGTGTGTGTGTGTGTGCGTGTGCGTGTGCGTGTGCGTGAGCGTGAGTGTGAGTGTGAGTGTGAGTGTGAGTGTGTGTGTGCGTGTGTGGCGTTATCTATTTATACAGATGGGCAAACATTAAACACGACCCCGAATTCGCGAAGTACTCGAAGAGCGTTGTAAACTAGTTATTTCAAACTAGGAGATTGTGTTAGAGTAAATTCCTTCACACAGTTATGGCTGAGGGAGCCACCCCGTTTATGGTCTGGCTATCTGTTACGGGTCATATAAGTTGCCGCAATTTAAACGTCTGCTACTGTTATAGTCAAGTACAAAATGCCCGAACTAGCATGCTACCGATGCTGCCATCTACTGGCCAGCAGTGCCACCATCTACATGCAATTGATGCTGCCACTCAACGGCTACTGATGCCACTACTGCATGCCAATGATGCTGCCACTCAATGGCTACTGATGCCACAACTACATGCCACTGATGCTGCCACATATAGGCCACAGTTGTCAAGACGCATATGCTACTTATGCTAACACCTACACGATGTCTACGTTGACACAGGGAGAGGGTCTTATTGGTACCTTATTATAGCGTATTAACGTAAGCTTAAGACAGCTACAGTAAAGAATCATAGAGTCATTGCAGAAGCATGCAGATCACAACGACCAGTTTGCTGTAGACAGATATAGACTAGAGAAATCAGTCTAGTATAAGATATAGACTAGAGAGACCAATCTACTATAAGATATAGGCTAGAGAGAGCCGCCTAGTATAAAATATACGCTAGAGAGATCAGTCTCGTATCAGATGTAGACTACACAGATCAGTCTAGTATAAGGTATAAACTAGAGAGATCAGTCTAGTAACAGATATAGACTACAGACCACGGGCTAGAGTCGGCCTATCGAACGGTGCATGTATATTGCGACAGAAGAGGGTGATGCGATCTCACGAACCCGAGCAGCGACGGAAACACACGAGTGCTATAGCCTCGTCTCATGCAAAGATCGAAGCTAGCCCCGCACGCAGTGTTGCCACCTACGAGGACGCTGAGTAGCTGATTTCATATGGAGACGCTAGTGCTGCCATACTGATAAAAAATTTCGAATTTTTATATTGTTTTGGAATTTTTATACTGTTATAAAGTTATACTTTTTATATATTGTTTCAACCGATTCTAGTAATTTCTACCTCTCTGCCGCTCGCCGAAAGCTGGTGCTAAAATTTGGCTCGGGCCTGGTCCGACGTTTTCGATGGGGCCAAATCTGGCTCGGGCCTAATTAGGCTCGGGCCAAAAACGTCCGTGTGAACGCTCGGCTCGAGCCATATCTGGCACGGGCCTAATTAGGCTCGGGCCAAAAACGTCCGTGTGAACGCGCCTATAGTTTCTGTCTAGGAACTCTATCGGTGCTGCCATCTATGGAAAGATATGCGCATCAGCTAATTCAGCCGTCAGCCACGGAACAGAGCGATGACGCATGCCCGCTGAGTATATATTTATCCCCTTCCCCCTTTCTTTTTTTCCTTCATTCTTCCCTCTTCCCCTTCCCCCTTTCTCTCCACCGTTTCCACTTCCTTCTTCCCCCTTCTCTCTTCCCACTTCCCTATTATCCATCGTAAGTCATCATAGATAACTATTACTCTCTCTCTCTCTCTCTCTCTCTCTCTCTCTCTCTCTCTCTCTCTCTCTCTCTCTGTCTCTCTCTTTCTCTCTATCGTCACCGAAATAACTCGCCCGCTATCTTTCACGGGGTGTCTTTCTTCTATTTTATAGGACCAATCTCTCTCCCATTCCTTCCCCCCCCCTCTTTCAATCTGTCTCTCTCTCTCACACACGCACTCCCTCTCTCTATCCCTCCTTCTCTCTGTCTCTGTCTCTCGCTCTCACACATCCTCTCTCTTCCTCTCTCCCCCTCTCTCTCCCTCTCTCTCTCCTTCTCTCTCTCACGCGCGCTCTCTCTCTCTCTCTTACGCTCTTTCTCTCTCTCTCTCTCTTTCTCTCTCTCTCTCCTTCGCTCTCTAGCTTACTCTCTCTCTCTCTCTCACGCTCTCTCTCTCTCACGCTCTCTCTCCCTCTCTCTCTCTCTCTCTCTCTCTAGCTCACTCTCTCGCTACCTCCCTCGCCCGCTCCCCTCTGGCGTTCCGTTATAGAAGCCAGCATACCGGCAAGCATCACTGCCTAGCAGGCTATTATTATAGCCTGGTGCAAGGAAGCTCGCCCTATATAGCCCTGCTGAGCGCAGCATAGCTGCTTACTGCTGGTTGGATAGAAGCCCTCACGTGGTACCAACATGGCTGCCTCGGCACACCGTTTCCATCTTTATCGGCATTTCGGGGAGGAAGGGAAACACGTCTGGTAGAGCGTGAGAGAATTCGATAGATTTCGAGAGAGAGAATTCGAGTGTGATTTCTTTGCGGGAAAAACAAACAGTTGTCGATAACTGTGTGGTTCCTGCCTGATCCATGTATCAGGATGCGCGACGCAAAGAATTTCATGTATGAGAGATCGAATTAGATGAACTAGGGAGAAGGTTGTTAACACAGCCGTTTTTGGTAAACATTTCTACCATGTTTTGCCCTTCCCCTCTCCATCATCGCTGGCTCCCACCTCTCGCTCTCACACACATACACACACGCACGCACGCACACACGCACAAACACACACATACGCACACACTCGCACGCGGACACGCGCACATACGCACGCACACGCGCGCGCACCCGCACACACACGGGAACACACACACACGCCTACAGAGACAAACAAACAAACAAACAAACACACACACATACGGCGACACCTGTCGTACGACGTAGAATCATTTACCTGGAATCTGCTAGCGTCGGGAATATCGATGAAGGCGACGTTGCTGCTGCTGGCGCCGCCGCCGCCGCCGCTGCTGTAGCTATAGCTGGTCTTCACGACCTGTTGCGAAGTCTCCATCGTTGTCGTTGCTGGCACGAGTACTGCGAGAGTCTTGGTGAGTGGGTGGTTTCGTTACTCCGTGCGCGCACTCTTTCTCTCTCTCCCTCTCCTGTCCGTGTGTGTGTGTGCACCGCACCGTAAACCCAGAAGCAGACTGGCTAGAGTTTCGCGGCAGGCGTGCTTATGTTTGAGCCACGCGCTCGCTGCTGCTGCGACGGGGTCGGGTTTCTACCGCCGGCCTTTTATAGACATTGACCAAGATGGAGGCTTCTCTCTCATCTGGTGCGGGAGCTTGCATTGCTCGTGCGTGCGCGCGCGCGCGTGTGTGTATGCGGTCGTGCACGCGTGCGTGTGCGCGTACGTGCGCGCGTGCGTGTGTGCCGCGTGTGTACACGCGCGCGTGTGCGTGTGCGCACGGGCTTGCGTGCGGACGTAGAAACTTACGTGTGTGTGCGTGCGCGTGTGCTTACGTGCGCGTGTGCGTGTGCGTGTGCGTGTGCGCCTCAGCGTGTGCGTGCGTGTATGCACGCATGTGCACGCGTGTGCGTGCGCGTGCGCGTGTGTGTGCGTGTGCGTGTGTGTGCGTGTGCGTGCGTGTGCGTGCGTGTATGCACGTGTGGGGTTCCCACGGCCTCGTCAACAAAACTTTCAGCCGATTAAGTGATGAATGGATGATGTGCGAATAATATTACTGGGTCGTCTGCTGTCAAGCTGTAGGCTAGCGGGAGGAGGGCGGATAGAGAGGAGGAGGCGAGGGAAAGATGGGGAGTGGGAGGAGGGAGGAGGGAGAGGAGGAGGCGAAGGAAAGATGGGGAGTGGGAGGAGGGAGGAGGGCGGATAGTGAGGAGGAGGCGAGGGAAAGATGGGGAGTGGGAGGAGGGAGGAGGGAGAGGAGGAGGCGAAGGAAAGATGGGGAGTGGGAGGAGGGAGGAGGGCGGATAGTGAGGAGGAGGCGAGGGAAAGATGGGGAGTGGGAGGAGGGAGGAGGGAGAGGAGGAGGCGAAGGAAAGATGGGGAGTGGGAGGAGGGAGGAGGGCGGATAGTGAGGAGGAGGCGAGGGAAAGATGGGGAGGGGGAGGGGGGAGGAGGGAGAGGAGGAGGCGAAGGAAAGATGGGGAGTGGGAGGAGGGAGGAGGGCGGATAGTGAGGAGGAGGCGAGGGAAAGATGGGGAGGGGGAGGGGGGAGGAGGGAGAGGAGGAGGCGAAGGAAAGATGGGGAGTGGGAGGAGGGAGGAGGGCGGATAGTGAGGAGGAGGCGAGGGAAAGATGGGGAGGGGGAGGGGG